ATTCAGTTTGTTAATTCGAATAGCCTCAATCATGATCCAAAATGGAGCCCTTTTCAATTGTTCAAAATGACCACCCCTCAATGGCGGTGTCGTTACAAGCTTAACAATGCCAGTAATGTTTGAACGGAAATTAATCCGTGTAGGTGCACTGCGCGACGGTCGGCCAGAAGGATTAACACCTCATTCACTAACTCCCTGCTGGATGACTTTTGATTTCTTGAACAATATGCGTCATTGCATGTTAACACCCAGCCTGTTTGGTTTCGAATCACATGCACCTTCGAGACGTTTTCGTTCACATAAACGCATCCACGGACTCCTGCTAATGTCAGCATTTGCAATAACACAAATAACATATTAATTAGCTACCAGCACATAACATAACACACCATAACCAACATACCAACATACAAATTACACAACACATAAATACAAACAACATGCATGACACCCCGACCCGATTAAACAGCCCTGCCAGATATAATGTTATAACATCACACACAATTACATATGAAGCGAAATTTGAAATTCCACACAGCTAACCAACACACCCAACCAATAATTGTGGACAAACTTAAATACAAATAGTGGAAACCATGTCCAATATTAACACTTGACAACTCAAAATCATACAACGCAAACCATGCCAGGAACAATATGCCCATTGTTCGGTAAACATGTGATATATACCAACTACTTCCACTACATACTAATTGGCACTGCTTACACCCGTTGCCACACTCGCACTCATATCTCTCACATCGCCTAAACCCCAAAATTTAACGCCACTACACTTGTACACACCACAACATACTTTCACACACATCAAACAAAACAAAAAAAATAAGATCATTGCACTAAATGAAACCACACATATAAGCAACATGGGGCATCGCCACGAAGCACTTTTGACATACATTCGGCACTAAATAACGCGAATCATAAAATCACAATACACACAAAGTACCCACACACCCCAATTGAATCGGACCCACATGCCGCATACCACATAAATCAACAAGATTGCACAGACCTGACAACACCACAACCCCCTACTACGAATCACATTGAAATAGGATAAGAATGTAACACTATTTTAACGCACATCCCAAAACCCAATTCACTGACAACATACAGTGACCCAAAATAAACTAACCCAATAAATAACAGTCACACCCACCATACATGGTTCAAATATGTGAAACCTACACCCTACCATAATACACACAATACGGTAATAAGTTGCAATATACATACACACACACACACACATAATGCCATTGATATTTTTCAATCAATACTCATCTGTTACAGAACATCAAACAAATATCATCAAACCACAACCACCTAATGTTTCAACCATACATAGAACATATCGACCACGAAAATAACAAAAAACAGTGGTGTCACATACCTTCCCCACCCATCATTCCAGCGGCCGACAAATCTAAACATGTCCTTCAGCGTCTCTCTCGTTCCCTTTGCGAACTTCCTTCAACTATCATTATGTTGCAGTGCCGCCAATCACCTTCCAATGTCACACATACAAACGATCATAATCTTTCAATTCTTCGAGACAATTCAAACGAAATTGCCAGAAATTAGGGATTTCAAACCTCGCCTAATCCATAACCAATAGGGGGTTTTGTCAATAGGGTTATGTGTGTCACGTGGAATGCATGCCCCCCAAAGTAAAAAAACACAAAAAGCCTTAGTGAACTTTCCAATGTTGTGGCACCCAGCGACCACCCTGAATGTGACACGTGGCAAATACCAATTTGGGAAACACACCAACATTTGGCTGTGCCACACCACGCCATCACTTATTCATGCGTTCAGAAAATAGGTAGTGGTATTTACGTCATTCAACAATAGAAAGGACCAAATAGATCAAAAGGAAAAAAGTTGAGACTAAATGGAGCACAATTTCAACATTTAGGATTTATTAGTAACTTTCCCATAATTTTTTTTGGATTGAATTTAATAACTTTAATTTGAGTGGCTAGAGATGTGGATATTAATACTTCTTCCATCCTAATTTATTTGTCTATTATAAAAAAAAAAATCCAATTTATGGAGAGATACAATCATTATCTTTTAATTTAAATTTTGAAATGTTTTTCCTACCAATATCTTTTTTTTTTTGAATTTTAAAATGTGTTTATAATGATTAATAAGGGACAAATTAAAAAATCTACCAAAATTTAATATCTCAAAAAAGAGAGTGGACAAATATTTTGGAACGGATTAAAATGAAAAAATGGACAAATAAAATGGGATAGAGCAAGTAGAAGGTTTGATTTCAACATTTCAATTCCTTCCTAGTACCTCTCAAAAAAAAAATTCGATTTGGATTTCAAATTAATTGGTTGGTGTGAGTTTATAGTCATTAGTATCGTAAAACATGTATGAAAAATATATAAAAAGTATATTAAAATTTTAACTATTTTGATTTTTATCTCCTTGAAAAACAATCCTATGAGTTGTTCACTCTTTTATCAAAATAGTCTATTTTAAACAATTGTTTTGAGTCTTTTAAAATTTTATATTATTACCGAAAAAGTTGGCAATGAATTGAAAACAATTGTGTTGTATGTTTAAATTCTAACTTTCAAAATTTTTTTAAGAACAAATTTTATAAAGAGGATAGTTTCTTACTAGCCCAGATGTTGACTGGAGGGAACAATCTAAACTATCAAGTTGTGTCATTTTGGTTCTTTTTTTTTGGTTGCAAATTAGAAGTTAAAATTTTATTAAATATTGAATTAATTTTTTAAAACCTAAATTTAATATTCAACATTGTTTGAGGGTTATATTTTTTGTGGTCATAATGGTTTAAAACTGTCAAAATAATATCATTTTGACATATTTTATATCCAAAACGATAAACAACATCGTTTTAACAATTTTGAGCCATTATGACCACAAAAATTGTTACTCTCAGCCATTTTCCTTTAATATTAGAGTTAAAAGGGTACAAAAAGTAAGTAGCCTTGCTCTGACTGGAGACAAGCTTGGGTCGAATCGCCCTTACTCTGCAAACAAAACCCTAAACAAGAAGAGGAAGAAGAAGAAGAAGAAGAAGAGAACATGAGATGGAAATCTCCAAGAACAAGCTAATAATAAGGTATTTCTCAAACCCTAATTACCTCTCCTCTCTCTTCTCTCATTCTCACCCATTTACTTCTCTTTCTCTCTTTCCCAAAACCCTAAACCCTAGTCTCCCTCACATTCCTACCCCTCCAACCACCACCTTACATTTTCATCAACAACCCAATTCACATCCTCTTTATTCTTCGATTTCTTCAACTGGGTCATCTTCATTTTTCTCTGTAAAATCCCCATTTCGTCAATCTTTGATTTCTTTAGCTAGTTATAGGTCTATTGGTCACAGTTTTGACCACCCAAGCTTTAGTCTTCATGGGCAATTTCGATTACTTTCAGTGTCATCCTCTGATCAAACCAGTGAATCTGAGAACATAGCTATTGGTAAGTCTGGCTCAAATGTGAATGCAAAGCAAATTTCAGGAATTATTGAGCTCATTAGGAGTGGTGAGGATGACTTGGAGTTGAAGTTAAATTTGATGGGTTTAGGTCTTTCGGTTGATTCCTTAATTGGGATTTTTCGTTTTTTGAATTGTGAAAGAATATCGGCTTTGCGTTTCTTTGTTTGGGTTCGAGATAGGAATCCAAGTCTGTACAAGAATTCTGATGTTTGTAGTTTAATTATTGATAACTGTGGTTGGTTGGATGATTATGAGACGATGCTTTGCTTGTTGAGGGAGTTTAGATCGGATTGTATTTGCCTTAACGAGAAGGCTTTTGGATTTCTACCCGTTTTGAGTTCGAGCAATGATTCAATCATGAAATCTATAAGAAGAGTGGTAGAGCTGTTACATGAAGCTGGGGGCTCATGTCGTGGTTCTGGCATTTGTGGGTTGCTTACGATGCTTTCTACGCTGGACTTATTTGAAATGGCTAAATTTGTCATAGAAATAACGGAGAAAAAGGCGTCTTACTACAGTATTTTAATTCTCGAAAAGTGTCGGAGATGCTGTTTTAGTGAAGCATGTGACCTGCTTGAAGAGATGAGACAATTTAGTTGCGACCCAGATGCCAAAACTTACAACTATCTGCTTAGTGCTTTATGCAAGCACGATAGAATAGCTGAAGCTTGCGGTGTGCTTGAAGAAATGAAAAAGAAGGGTTGTCCTCCTGATGCAATAACCTTTGAAATATTAATCTATTTCTCATGTAGGCTTGGCCAGTTGGATGCTGCAATTCAATTTTTTGATCAAATGGTGTCTATGGGTCTTGAACCTCGGCTTACAACACATGCTGCCTTTATCAAGGGTTTTTTCCATTCAAGGCAATATGACAAGGCATACAATTATGTTGTAGATTCAGGTGTCAAGTATAAGGACTCAGGCAATATGATTTACAGTTTACTTGCAAGACTTCATCACAGAAATGGAAATCTTATCACTGCTGGAAACATTCTTATTGAAATGATGGATAAGGGTCTCATTCCATTCTTTCCGGATTATATAAAAATTATGAAGCAGCTTTACAGGTCTGGCCGGACACAATTAGCTGGAGATTTAAAGCGCAAGTTCTCTAGGTTGAGATCAGAGTCAGGTTCTCTAGGTGGAGAGTTAATTGATTGTGAGAATCCGTGACATTTTTTTTCGTTCTTTTTCTGTCTATTTTTTTTCAATGTTCTGTTTCATGCTATGTAGACCTAGAACTAGAACATAGGAGAGGTTCCAACAAAAGAAGTGAGATTGTTCACTGCTAGATTTTTGAATGAGCAATGAGGCTTAATAGCATCTATTTCTAAGAAGTTAATTTGTGAAGCATATTCATTTTCCCCCTGACTTTTTGTGTGTTAGAAATTCTCTCAATTTGCACGCTTGTTCTACTAAGAACATTCTTTACTGATTGATAATGCAACGACTGTGATTTGGTTTTATCTAGTCTGGTTTCTGTTAAATAATGCCAAAAAAATGTTTTCAGCTTTTTGCTGTCTGGGAGCTTAAGATGATGTTCCTCTTGTTTTCTTGAGTGTATCTGGGAAGATGAGAATAGGTGAATTTTGTGAAGGATAAATGCTTACAATTTTTAAATTCAAATAAATGGGGGAATAACTAATAGCTGTCCCCCAGTTATTGTTCGGATTGTTCTCCCCCTTCATCCAACTGTCAAAAAATAATCCTCTTTATTATCCCATACATTTATCCCACCCTAAGAAAACATAGTATAACTAATCCTATCTACATACATAATCCATCTACGACTTATCCTCTCTAAACCTGACCACAGTTTCATGGTATCCAATCCCTCCCCCCAAAATTAATCTGGCAATCAAACGGGGCCAAAGAGATTTGCAGTGAATTGTTGACACAAGTTGTTTGCTTTTTGTTCAGGGTTGAGCAAGTTCTTCACTTACTGTTTTGTCTGTGTTGTGGGTGAGATTTGGTAATGTTAGCTGGTGTAGGATTGTTTTTCTTCGTAACTTATGCAGTTATGCCAGGTTTTGGCCCCTGTTTTTTAACTACATCTTTATTTGAAAAATAAAAAAGAATGACTGAGCTGCCATCCTGGTATATCCCAATTTATCTGCTTTGATACATGTTTGATTTCAGGCTACCAGAACAATTATACTCGTGTTTGCATGCTGAGACTTGAGACTTATGTGATTGCTGACTAGTTTTCTCTGCTTGTCTATCCCAATTGTTACTTCTTCAATGATATGTTTGAAGTTTTTACGTCCAGTTTTGCAGACACACTTAAATCAAGTGGATTTTCCCTCAAATTTTCCTTATCGAGTTCAAGTCCTCATTGCATTTGCATTTGTTGCACAGACACATCTAGGTTGTCAACGAGTGTGGTCAGGCTGCACCATAATATCATTGCTGAAAAGAAACTGATTCAAGTAAGCCATGCTAGGGAGCTTGCTTGGTCTCTTATATTATATGTTAGCACAAAGCAACCCATAGAGTAGCAAGCATGGTGGCTTGTGATTTGCATATTGTGGCTTTTGTTTAGCTGTAATTTAAATTCTAGTTAGTAGTCACCAAGAAGTGCCCACTGATAATCCAATGAATGAGTCGGTAGTTTATTTGCATGAAGAGAATGGCTTGTGAACTCATCACTGTGCTTCACTGGGATTGGAATCTTGGTGATTATTGTTGCCAATATCTGTTGTTATATCAATTAGGCTGCCACTGACTTTATAATTGCACCTTCTGCTTTGAGGGAGCTAAATATAGATTTTCAGCAATTGCAAACGGTAACTAATGTCATTTGTTCATTACAGACAAAAGGGTACTTTATGTTCTGTTCACTTACACAAAAGAAATAAAAAAAGGGTGCTTTATGTTCTGTTTCAGTTTGAACTGGTAACTTACCAATAAAAGTGAATACAAATCGTAGAAATGAACCCACAAATGTGGTCCTTTTTACATTACCAATAGAAATTCAAGTTGGTACTTGTAAAATTTATGGATGACCTAAAGAAACCAGAGTCCACCGGGCATTGTCATAATGTCCGAAGCAAAGCCATGACATGACTGATCTTCTCAACTGGATGTGGAATGCAATACTGAATACAAATGACGGGCCTTTAAAAACTCAAGAGAGTGACTAAAGAAGTAGTGATGGAATGTGTAGTTGATATGAGTGATTGGATAGTGAGGAACTCTCCTCTCTATGATGAAAGGCATAAAATGGTTTCTGAAGATCAAATCCGGGGCATCTGAATGTAATAGGGTTGGAAAGAAGATACAATTTTGCTTCTGATGGTTTGGCATGAAGATGTGGTTCTAAAAGCAGTTTTACTCGGTGGATAAGGGGACCATGGTTGGCCTCTGTTTCCCATTAGCCAGAGCTTCAACAACTTAAGAGGTACAACAGTTTCTTCCTTTCCTTGTTATCATTTGAATGCTTCCTGATTTGGAGTGGATATTTCTAATGACATTATATTATGGTTCACCTGCTTTTTTATCAAAGTCTGAAAGTTGGTTGAGATTTTTATTTTATTTTTATTTTAATCCTCCTAGTGGACAAGTCCTTCAAATCCAGCTGTTGGCTAATGGTTGCTTCATAAAAGACATATTTTACCCACCCACCCTTTTATTTCTTTCCACTGGGATTCTTCTGGGAGGCCTGCAAAATATTTTTGTTTTGATTTCCTAGAATTTAAGTTATAAAAAAGAAAGGAAAAAAATAAAAATAAAAATTCCTACAAATAGACTGCTACTGGATGAAGTAGATTTATCTAGACCCAAAAAACTTGTACTTACGTGAAACATGTGTGTTGGATATGTAACAATAATGAGATGAAGAGCAACATGTGATTTATTTGTGGATAATTGTTGCAGCTCTGTTATCAATTTATTTGTTAAAATTGTTTGATTTCTACCGCAGGAAGCTGAAGTGTGAACCCTGTAAAATTTGAATGAAGTTTGGAAGCCTGAAGCTGACAGGTCCGGTGGCTGCCCTGCCCACCATGCCTTTCAAGTAGTGCAAAAAACATCGGGGGCATTCTGGACATGCAAATTTCCACCTCAAATCAGCTAAGTCTACAAATCTACCTAACTTCTATTTATTTATAGAATGGTTGAGCCTTAAAGAGGTTTATTGCTCTAGTTATTTGTAAAGTTTGATCTGTATGAGTTATTGTTCTAGGAATTTGTAAAGTTTGCACTGGCAATTTGTTGCTCCACCTTGAGAAGGTATACGACATTGCCTAACTCTTGTAACTGTTAAAGTTATTTCACTACAGAGATTATCCTGACATAAGCATCAGAGGAGTTTTGGTCGGCATCACACCGATGGCCCGCTTTCGAAAGTTGTTTATTTGACGTCATCAGTGAGCATAAAAAAAAACTAAATCAACAATCATAAAGTGAATAAAATAATATTTGAAATAAAAGTATATGCATTTAGGATTCACTTCTGGTAGACAAATAAGTGAAATAGAAGTCTAAAAAAAGAGGAAGATATAAGTGAGAAGTAGGGAAGTATTTAAAATGACTCTAATAAGATATAACCATGTCCTTTACATAGACAACAATATGAAAGGTAAATTGAAGGGGTTTTGCCGGCATCGCACGGATGCCCGCTTTTCGGTAATTCTTTCTTTGACAGGTGGTTGGTCATCCGTGAGCATAAAAAAACTACATCAACAATCATAAAATGAAAAAAGACAATATTTGAATTGAAGTAGATGCACTTAAGATTCACTTCTAGTAGACAAATAAGTATGCCAATGAAAATAGTAGAAACAGAGAAAATGCATTTTCAGTCTAAAAAACTAGTGTGACAAAACCACAATGCCAAAACCCTAGCCACACAATTGGACCAAATCTCGCGGAGAAATGAAAACAATACCTGAGCCGTTGAGATTCTCCACCAAACAAGGCCGTTGCGCTTCGGACTCCTCGGAACCACCACCTTCGACAGCCTCCTCCTCAGCTCTCTTGATGGAGTCCGGTTTGTTCTCGTTCACATTTGAGTCGGCCATCAGTGTTTCAGGCTCCAAATCTTCATGCTTGCGCTTGTGATCCAACGGCGCAGGACTAGAAGGGACCGGAGTTGAGGCCCAAAGCAGCTGTCTGAGGCCCAAAGCAGCTGCCTGCTGAGCGGCTAAGCGTATGTCATCAGGACTTGAGCTTGCTGGATGCGGGAGTCTATCAGCCAACTCAGGAAAATTTAGTCGTGCACCATGTCCCCTGAGGTGCAATGCGGCTGCATCATATGCTGTAGCAGCCATTTCGGGTGTCTCAAAACTTCCTAGCCAAATTCGAGTTTTCTTGCCAGGCTCGCGTATTTCCGACACCCATTTCCCCCATTTCCGTTTACGAACTCCCCTGTATATCGAACTGGCACCACCACCACCACTGCTGCTGCTGCTACCATGACTGTTGCTAGACTCTTTCATATCATATATATATATGCAAAGTAGTGAAAACTTGTGCAAGATTGAGGGAGTTGAGTTATATCCAGGCACGTATATATAGATGCTGACATGCTAACAAAAGTCATTGCAAGTATGAACACAACGTGGTAACCTTGGTAATGTAGTATATGAGAGTAAGCGAGCTTCCAAGTAGTTTCAAAATGTCTCAATAGTTTAATTTCATGGTGGGACATACATACAAATCTCTGTTTGGATAGACTAATCTCTGTGACCCCTTGTGCGTTACAGTTCAGTATATTGCTGTGACGAATTAGAGTTCACCATTCATTGATTTTTTTCATTATTATATATATATTTTTTCTGAACATGTGTGATTGAATACTAAGAAAATGAAAGATCACTAGAAACAAACATAGCAATTTAGATCAAGAGAGTTTTGGTAGGTGGGTGGGGGTGTTCCAAATCCCTGTTTAAACGCGGTTTTAATCCCAGGTGGGATCAACTTTTGAATTTGGACCACTTCTGATGATGATGCATACATCATGATACAGCATTACTGGAAATTTAGAATCTGGGTACCCCCACAAGCCATTAGTTTTTCCTCTTTCTCTTCTCTTTGTCTCTCTTCAGTGCATGATACACTTGTCACTCTTTTACTAACACTTGAAGAAACTATAGTATATGCTATTTTTATTTTTTGATAAATTGCATTGACCTCCCCTAAGATACGAAGAAACCGTCATAATCTCAATTTTAATATAATTATATTGATTTCCCGTAAGGTATAAATTACATATCAATTTAACCTTACTACGGTTGGTGTTCATTAGGCCAATGGATGGTGTTCATTAGGCCAATGGATGATGTCATTACTTTTATACAAAAATGTCAATTTTACCCTTATTTATCCTTGTATCCAATCATTACCAATATTTAAATATCCATATTCTATGTATTAACCTAATACTCATGATATGCATGGTTTTAAATAAATAATTAATAATTAATTTTAAAATTAAACAATAAAAAAATAGATTTGATTAAATTTTGAGTTAATTATTTAAAAGTTTTATTTACAAATGTTATGGTAGTTCAGGTTCTATTTAAGATTTTTTGAACCAATAAGTCTTATTTAAGCATTGTTTGGCAAGTTGGTTTGTGGCTAAAATAGCCACAAAAGACAAAATAGGCTATTTTAGCCACAACAAACAAAACATCACATTCAACTCATAATCTTTATACTCTTCTCTCACAAAAAAAGTCAAATTCAAAAAGTCTTTCCCAAATCAAGTTTTTTAGCCCAAGTTAAAATAGTTAAAAAAGTCAAAAAGTCAAAAAACCAAACCAAGCTTATTAGTTTTTCTCAATTTTTAAAATTAGGAACATTATCAATTTTGTATAGTAATATTTTAGATAATTATTTCACTAGCTGATGAAAAAAAAAACAGAGTATGAGATTAAGTTTGGCATAACACAAAAAAGCCAAGAAGTCAAAAAGTCGCTATTCTATTTAAGTCACATCATCTTATTTAAATTACATCACCTCTCTATCAAATCACTTCAAACCCAATCCATATTTCATAAAAAGTCAAAAAGTGCACTTATTTAGATTATCCCAAACAACTTCAATTCAACTATTCAATAAAATCGAGAACATTAACAGTTTTTTTCAGTTTTAAAACTGAGAAAAATATCAATTTTTTCATTTTTGAAGTTTTTTTTTTCCCCAATTTTGCACATCAATATTCTATCATCATGCTCCTTTATAAACACAAAATTTTGCACAAAAAAAAAACTTCAGCTTTTTCAATTTTTTTTTAATTTTTTTTTTGCACATAATTTTTTTTTAATTTATTTAATTTGAAATTTGATATTTTAAAGTTTTGATAATTAAAATAAATGTCAAATTATCATTTTTTTTTATAGATAATCATAAATGATAAATAATCATTGTTTGAAAGGTAATTTTGATTATTAAAAATTTAATGGGACTTGAAGGTCCAAAAAATTTTAATTAAGACTTAATAGAGTATAAGTTTATAAATTAAGAGTTATGTGTAAATACTCCTTAAATTTTAACTATTTTTTTTTATCACAATTTCACTTATGTTTTTTTTTCTTCTTCTAAATAACAAATACATGAATCATAATGTAATTCGTAAAAATTAAATAAAAAATATGGTAAATTATAAAATTAAACTATTTTTATTTTTATTTTTAGAAACAAAAATTGCGCCTACGATAAAATATAAATATATTATTATTTTCTAAGGGTTTCATAATTTTATTTTACAACATATTAGATTCCTATGATGATATTGGAGACTATGGGTGTATATATATTAAAGTTTTGAAAATCAAAATAAATGTCAAATTATCATTTTTTTTTATAGATAATCATAAATGATAATAATCATTGTTTGAAAGGTAATTTTGATTATTAAAAATTTAATGGGACTTGAAGGTCCAAAAAATCTTAGTTAAGACTTAATAGAGTATAAGTTTATAAATAAAGAGTTATGTGTAAATACTCCTTAAATTTTAACTATTTTTTTTTATCACAATTTCACTTATGTTTTTTTTTTCTTCTTCTAAATAACAAATACATGAATCATAATGTTATTCATAAAAATTAAATAAAAAATATGGTAAATTATAAAATTAAACTATTTTTATTTTTATTTTTAGAAACAAAAATTGCACCTATGATAAAATATAAATATATTATTATTTTCTAAGGGTTTCATAATTTTATTTTGCAACATAATAGATTCATATGATGATATCGGAGACTATGGGTATATATATATATAACTATTTTTTTTTTTTTTTTTTTTTTTTGTGAAACTCAATCTAGCAAAATTTTTTTAAATCGAATGCCAAAATTGATCCCCAAAAAATCAAATGTCAATTTTTATTTTAATTTTTTTGTTTAAATCAAAAAATTGAAAAACAAAATGAAAATAAAAAATAATAAAACTACCAATGACTCTTATCCTCTTGCCCTTTCTGAATTAAGTATTTGCCTACCAGATACAACTTCTAGATTTTCTCACACTCGTTAGGTTTGACACCTAACATTGGGCCATTTTTTTGTCCTTCTCTCTCACCCGCCTCACTAGTTTCACGACCCTAATCATCCAGCATTTCCTACTAGACATCTTAACTTCTCTTTGTCAATTACTTTTGCCTTGTCATTACCATTTTGCTAAACCTTTAAACTTACTTACTTATATTTGTATATAAAATATTGAATTTGGATAATTCACATTTTTTTATATATATTTTTAAATTGAGTAATATTAGAATTATCATATTTAGATATTATGTGATGTGACATTTTACATGGTATTAATTACATCATTTGATATGTTGCACATGATATATATGAAGTGTCATTTAAAGCACGATATCAAATATTGTCAGTATAAATCATTAAAATTTTATTTTGAACATTCTTTTTAAAGATTCCAAATTTAATTACTAAAATTTAATCAAGAAAATGTATATTACCCATTTATGAATTTTTTCTAGAATGTTTTTCTTCTAAAAATTTCATTTATGTCATAGAATATTTATACAAAAAAAATAACTTTTTTTCTCATATTCTTCTTGAACTTTAAATTTGAACTCCAAAATCTATTAATTACTGCTTAAATTAGATTTGGCTTACATATAAACTTTTTTATCTATTTTTTAAAAATTTTAAATTAGATTTGTTTGGATGGGTTAATAATTTTATGCGACATGTATTTTTTAATTTTTATAAATTGAAATTAATATTTTGAAGCCCTTAAAATATTTTGGACAAAAAGTTATTTTGCGTAAATTAATAGATAATAATAGATTTGGAAAAGTTATCACTCACAAATAATAATTATAGTTTAATTTGTCGATAAAAAATAAAGTGATAATTACAAAACATGTACGCTTATTACAAAAATTATAGTCAAGTTATTGCTTATTAGAGATTGATGATTATAATTAAACAAAACTAAAAAAAATACCATATTGATTAATTAAATGAAAATAAGATAATGATAAATAAGAAAGAACTATTAATATAACTAAAGAGCGTATAATATTATAATATAATATTATTATATTTAAACGTGTATTTTCATATGATTTTAGGGAATATATTACTTTATTGATCAATAAATGATATGATTTTGATATTTTGAAATATCAAAAAAAATTTGATTTGATTTCCATATAAAATGTTTCATAAGAGTTAAGTTTAAATGTTTAAATATATTACTATATTGATCAAATGATCAATACTTTATTGACATGTGTATTTTTATAATTTTTTTCTCCAAAAATTTATAAAAATAGAGTTATAACTTTGAGACTCAATGAACTAACAACATTTTTGCTTATATTATATATTTGGATATTATATACTTGAAACCGAACAAACTCTCTCCACCCATAAAACTAGCAACCATCAACCTTCGGTGACGGCCACCAGCCTCCATCTCTATTCTTTTCCTCCTTTCTTCTCTTAGGGTTCGTTTGGCGTGCCTCTTGGGGCTAAAATAGTCATATAAGACAAAATAAGTTATTTTAGTTAAATAGAACAAAATGTTACATCTAACTTATAATCATTTCATTTTTCTCTCACAAAAGTCAAAAAAATCAAAAAACTTATCCCAAATGAGACTTTTTGACCCCAAGATAAAATAGCCAAAAAAATTAAAAAGTCAATCCACATTCCAAACGAGCTCTTAGTCACCATAAGCACCACCACTCAAGGCCCAATTTGCCGTCCAATCAACAACTCACTACTTCAATCAACCATAACATGAACCCACCTAAGCGTAATTCGCCACCGAATCAACCACAACTCTCACCCAAAGGTGAGATAAGAAAGAGAGATGGACAAAGGTTGAGGCCGTTGAAGGGTATCCTGAAGGGAAATGATGAAGGGGACCATTAGATGAGAGAAAGAAATAGATAAAGAAAGGAATGAGATTAGTGTTAAGTATATCTAGGATGTTTTTGTCATTTCATATTAAAGATAAATGTAATTTTTAAGCAAAGAAAGGGGTGAAAAAGTAATTA